GGAAGTCTTTTTGGCGGGAGCTGTTGCCATGGTGAATCGTAATTTCGGAGCTCCCATTGATCGTGGCTTTTCATAGTCATGGTGCACGCGCTAAACTCAGTCAACCTACTCAGAGTGGAATCATTGAACTAACTCTGTTCAGCTGTTCTGAAACCGAAAACTCAGAGTTTCCCATCTCAGGGTAAGTCAACTCGGAGTTCAAGTTTTAACTTAGTTTGTTGAACCTCCTTTCTGGAATACACCCCAGTATAAAACACTTGAGCACTAAAAAAAGATTAAATCTTTTGTTTACCTGGATGTCAGTGTGTTAACTGACATCAAAAAACTGTGACTATGCAAATGTGCTGATAAATTAGATTTTTTTTCAGTAGGTTTGCAATATTTTTTCAAGACTTAGTAATTAGTGGAGGTCATTGGATATGTTGATGACATAGTGTTTCATAGCTATACATCATTTTAGTAACTTGCATAACAATTGATTTTATACTAATTGATTGAGTGATGATTTTGTCCCAAAATTCAGAAGCATGGATTGCTGTCTACAAAAAAGATATCACAAAAGTGCATTTGTGTACATTTTTGAAGCAGAATACACTACCATTTCACAAAACTAAAAATAACTTTACTACACTACTGCAGTTGCTCTGGCATCCATGTGTGGATTACACTGGTTTTGTGCATTGTAATGTGTTTAAAAGACAAAAGCCTTCCAAAAACACAGTTATACATGGTTAAATGACTCATTGGCTACTAATCCAAATGTTTTATCAAGGGTTGATCAGATATTTTGAGATATCAAGGATACCAAATGTTTATTTATTATTATTTTTTAAGTCTTGATGTATAATTCTTTGCAGTCGATAGAGATGCACAGGCAAAGTTTATACTGCGAAGTAATGTTTTGCCATGTGTCTCCTACAAAGTGAAACCACTTCTGTAAATCTAGTGGTCACCTGTCAGTGGCTAGGAGTTAATACATTTTTGTGAATGACATGTAATGTAATAACTTTGAGCATTTCAAAATGTAATCTAATTAGATTATTTTTTTGGAACCTGATTACATCATACAGATCCCTAACAATTTTACACTGTTTTTTTTTTTTTTTTTGCAGTGCTGTAGTAGGGATTTTGCTTTTGCATTTAAGTAAATAAACTGCTTTAGAGACAATAAAACAAGTTAGCCTAAAACAATAAATCGGATAAACAGTACATCCAGAAAGTATTCACAGCGCTTCACTTTTTCCACATTTTATTATGTTACAGCCTAATTCCAGAATGGATTAAATTCATGATTTTCCTCAATTCTACAAACAATACAACAATGACAACGTGAAAGTTTGTTTGAAATCTTGGCAAAATTATATATATATAAAAAAAAACAACAACAACAACAACAACAACAACAACATGTATAATATTCACATCCTTTGCTCAATACTTTGCTGAAGTACCATTGGCATTAATTACAGCCTCAAATCTTTTTGGTTATGATGCAACAAGCTTTGCTTATCAGCATTTGGCAATTATCTGCCATTCTTCCCCTCACCTGTTCACCTCTCAAGCTCGGTCAGGTTGGATGGGGGCAGACACACATTTTCAGGTTTCTCCAGAAATATTTGATTGGGCTCAATCCCAGGCTGTGGCTGGGCCACTCAAAGGACATTCACAGAGTTGTCTATAAGCCACTCTTGCTGTGTGCTTAGGTTCATTGTCCCATTGTCCTGTCTGAGGTTCTGAATGCTCTGGACTGGGTTTTCATTAAGGCTATCTCTATATTTTGGTGCATTGAGCTTTTCTTCTACTCTGATGAGTCCCTCAGTTCCTGCCGCTGAAAAACAGCCCCACAGCATGAGGCTGCTACCAGCACACCTTACTTTTGGGAAGGTACTCGTCAGGTGATGAGAAGTGCCTGGTTTCCTTCGAACATTATGCTTATAACTGAGGTTCATCAAACCTGAGAATATTGTTTCTCAGAGTCTGAGGGTCCTTTAGGTGCTTTTTTTTGCAAATTCCAAGTGTGTTTTCTTGTGTCTCTGAGGAGAGGATGGAGTTTGGCCACACCACCATAAAGCACAGATCGGTGGAGCGTTGCAGTGATGTTAGTCCTTCTGTAGGTTTCTCCTATCTGCATATGATCATGGAGCTCAGCTCTAACCAAAGTCCTTCTCCATCAATTGCTCAGTTTGGCCAGGAGGCCAGCTCTAGGAAGAGTCTTGGTTGTTTCAAAATTCTTCCATCAAGGGTAACAGAAACGACATGCTTCTGTGAACCTTCCATGCTACAGACATTTTTCTGTACCTCAAAAGGGTTGTGCTCTGACATGCACTGTTACCTGTGGGACCTTATATAGACAGGTGTGTGCCTTTCCAAATCATGTCCAGTCAACTGAATTTAACACAGGTGGACTCCAATCAAGTTGTAGAGACGTCTCAAGGATGATCAGTGGAAACAGGATGCACCTGAGCTCAATTTTGATGTGAATACTTATGTGCATGTGATTTTTTTTGTTCTTTATGTTTAATAAATTTGCAAAGATTTCAAACAAACTTCTTTCACATTGTCATTATGGGGTATTGTTTGTAGAATTTTGAGGAAAATAATGCATTTAATCCATTTTGGAATATCAACATAACAAAATGTGGAAAAAGTGAAGCGCTGTGAATACTTTCCAGATGCACTGTACATCTTAGGTTATCTATCAAAGTTATTGTTGTGATATAATCTAGCTGAAAGCACATGCATTTTAAATAATGATAATACAATTATATAGAGCTCTTTTTAAAGTATACTCGGGCACAAAGAGACAAAAAAATCACAAAACAGTATAACAAACGCATAAACATAACAAAAGCAATATAATAAAACCAATAACACACCACATTAATCACATTAAAAGTAACCCTAAATGGTGGGTTTTGAGTAATTTGAACATAGACAAATCAGTACACTCTCAGATATGTTTTTCCCATTTATTTAATCCAAATATTTTAGAATGAATAAGGCCAGATGATGCATATTAACTTATTTATACAGAGAAGAAAGAAGATAAAGAGTCAAGGAAGAAAGTCCAAAAAAGTACAAACAGATGGTTAAATGTTTTAATTCAGTGCTTAAATAAGACCATCTGCACAAAAAGCATCATCAACAGTGTGATAAACATTTATTAGTAATGGTGCCTCTCAACACACATATGACAGGAGTGTTTGTCAGAAGAGAGATGCAATAAAACACATTTTTCAGAAACCTAAGACTAAGTGCAATAAATATTTCTAAACATTTGCGCTTTGTCCATAGGTCACTTGTGTGCTGCTCATGTGAAACTAGAAAATGTTGCAAGTGTGACTGTAATACTTCAAATCAACACATGATGGCGCCATATGTTTATATTTGATCCCCCAATCCCCAGCGATAAATCTGTTGCCATTACCATCCAGACACAGACGAAAAAAAGACGAATATTATAATACTTTATTTTACTTAAAATGTGATAGTTACTCATTCATGGACGGGTAGGAAAAAAATCTAAGCAGTAAGCCATTAACTTATTAATTTACACGTCTATTTTCGTAAATTAATCGGTCTGTCATCAGATGCCTCAGATACCATACCTTGCTTAAAATTCTTCACAAGTCAATTACTTTGGAAGAAAAATGCAAATTAATTAATAAAACTGATTTGGACATAATTCACAATTTTAAAAAAAATGTTGCCAAGGCAAAATCGTCTGAGCATCAATGAACCATGAATGAAATTTGAAGCATGAGCATGTAATGAAATACAAGAGACTATTGATTATTTAATTAGATATTTTTACCAGTCTACAAACTGCCAGCTTTGGTCATTTCTGAGGTGAATTATGCTTTTTCTTTGGTGATCCAGTCTTATATTAAGGTATTTTTATTTGAAGTTCATTTCATACATTACTCTATTTAAACACTGCCACATCACTGAATAGGTTTCAGTGTGGCTTGTTGCAATGTATCTATATGTCGTAAAGTATGAATAAGATGTTTTCTATTTCCCCAAGTGGATTAATTTTACATGTCTAAATGTAGGTAATGTGGCTTATGAGTGACATGTGACCAAACATGAATATGTTCTGGGGGGCTTTACCTTGGACAACAGCCACTGTGAAGAAGGACAAACACAAAGTGAGCTTCTGTAGGTAACCAACATTTATTTACCATTATCAACTTTACAATAAAACCAGTAACATCTTTAAACATTAGCAAAATAAAGAACAAAATTGGTCAAATGTATTTACAGAGACCAAAAAGCAGATCAAGGCTCACATTTAACACATAACAACTCTGCTTCTTTTAAAACTTCAAATGTGAACAAAGCAAGCTCAAATGTGTTTTTATTTCGTTTTGTTTTTTTAAAGCCAAGATGAAAATTAAAATGCGATTTCAAACAAACAAGACAAAGCCTTCTGGATATTTAAAATGGTTCTCTATACACCACAAAATACTTAAATTTGGATTAAAATATAGGAATGTAGAAAGTTGGCAAGTCTTTTTCGTCATTATATGTGGTGATGTTGATCTTGCGTAATTCATCGGTATAGTCGCATCTATTCGGTGGTGGGCTTGAAAGATGCTCCTCCTTGATCTCATCTCATCCTCAACTCACTCTTGCGTTGACATCCCGCTTCCAAGAGGTTTCGGCCTTCGCTCGGAATTCCAGATCTTTGAGCCATTAATCAGGGAAGTGAACTAGTGAATCTAGTCTGTCATTTGTTATTAATCTTGAAGAAAGTGGCACGAGGAGTCTTTTTTTCACATACATGTGTATATATACATATACATATATCCATGTATATATACATATGTATACATATACACATATATATAAATATATATTTTTTTTTTCTTGGAAAAACAGTTCACAAAGTCCTTTTGTGAAGTACAATCACTCTTTCTGTTCGGATGGTGCAGGTGTTGAGCTGGTCTCCTCTGTTGGTTTTGTGGGCTCTGCAGCAGCCTCTTCCTTGGGGGCAGCAGGTTCCTCAGCCTTGGCAGCAGGTTCCTCGGCCTTGGGGGTCTCGGCAGGGGCGGGGGTCTCCTCAGGCTTGGCCTCCTCCTCCTTCTCCTCAGCGGCCGCCCCATTCTCCTCGGGCTTCTCTTCGGCGGCCGGAGCGGCATCAGCGACAGCCTCTTCCTTCACCTCGGCGCTCTTCTTGTTCTTCTTCAGCGAGATGCCCTTGAATTTGAAGGAGTTCTTCAGGGAGAACTTCTTCTTCTTCTTTTTGGGGGTCTCCTTGGTGGCCTCGCCCTCGGGTTTAGCAGCCTCGGTGTCTCCTCAGCCTTGGCCTCCTCCTCCTTCTTCTCCTCAGCAGCCGCCCCGTTCTCCTCAGGCTTCTCTTCGGCAGCCGGAGCAGACTCAGCGGCAGCTTCTTCCTTCACCTCGGCACTCTTCTTGTTCTTCTTCAGCGAGATGCCCTTGAATTTGAAGGAGTTCTTCAGGGAGAACTTCTTCTTCTTCTTCTTGGGGGTCTCCTTGGTGGCCTCGCCCTCGGGTTTAGCAGCCTCTCCCTCAGCGGCAGGCGCAGGTTCGATGGCGTCGCCGGCTCCAGCCTCAGATTCCTTGGCTGCCTCCGCAGAACCGTTGGTGGTGGCGGCATCTCCCTCTGCTTTGGCAGAGACATCGCCATTGGTCTTAACGTGGCCGTTCTCCTGAGAAAGGAACATTAAATTGTCAGTTTAATAATGCAATACAAACCAACATGGATGAATATTTATTACGGGTCTACTATATATGTAGCAGGGCATTCCTTGAATCGTCGACGGACACATCAGTGACTCGTCACGTAAACCATGCATGTCTTCGAGGTGACGCCTTGCAGTAGCGCACACCGCCGCGCGAGGGCGATAGAGCCGCACACAACTCACACAATGCCAACCGAGACGGCAGCTTCGGAACAAAAGACTTGAGATCGAGCGAATTTCATTGAGCTTCATTCACTATTTATCCATCGACGATGGAATAACTACAAACGTCGATTTAAAAAAGTAACATAAAATATAAGTACCCTCATTGATAAGAATGGGGTTTAGTCGCATAAAACCCCAAAAGCTTGACCAAACACAAACCAACATGGATGAATATTTATTACGGGTCTACTATATATGTAGCAGGGCATTCCTTGAATCGTCGACGGACACATCAGTGACTCGTCACGTAAACCATGCATGTCTTCGAGGTGACGCCTTGCAGTAGCGCACACCGCCGCGCGAGGGCGATAGAGCCGCACACAACTCACACAATGCCAACCGAGACGGCAGCTTCGGAACAAAAGACTTGAGATCGAGCGAATTTCATTGAGCTTCATTCACTATTTATCCATCGACGATGGAATAACTACAAACGTCGATTTAAAAAAGTAACATAAAATATAAGTACCCTCATTGATAAGAATGGGGTTTAGTCGCATAAAACCCCAAAAGCTTGACCAAATGTGGACTCTCGCCTCAGTGTCTAGACTTTAAAGCCCGAGCGTCTGCATATTAAGACTCCACGCGCTTCACAGAAAAAAATCAAATCCGATTAAATATCACGACTGTAAAGAGAAAAAAACATAGTAAATAATTGATTATCTAAACAAAAACATGAAAAATGTATCTAGCTGAATATATGGAATACTATAAAAATAGAATGAAAAGGGGAAAATTTATTAAAAGCAATATATTATGTTCTAAAACCCCAATTACAACCAAATTTTCCAGATTGATCGCAACCCCCCGCTGATAACCCATGCATAGTGAATACGTGCAGCATCCTCCTACATGGGCATTAAATGGAGATCGCATGGCAACAACACCGACCGTATCCAAGCGCTAGAAACGGACTTTAAAGACAGAAAAAAAAAACGTGAACATGTAGAAAAAAATATATCCGTTTTTAAGCGCGAGACAGAAAACCGTGTCTGATCAGCCTAACGTAGTGCGATTTGCGTAACGTTAACGTTAATGCCTCACGAATGAAATCGCTCGGTTTTCCCGCGTGCCACGAGACATGCAATGATAAATAACACAGTGAATGGTAAGCTAGCATGTCTTTCTTTTTCACTACAAATCAGCGCCTTCTCTATTTTTCATCGCACTCAGAGCGATGGTTAAATCGCTGACGGTGATTTAGCAACTCTCGCTTGAAGCACTTGTTTGTCAGATGTGGGTGTGTCGCAGTGGAGATGAATTACCTGTCCGTTAGTCTTGACGGCAGTCGGGTCAGCATCGGCGGCTTTCCCCTCCACAGCCACTCCTCCCTTTGATGCCTGGGATCCCATTATTCTTGATGTGGTTTTAATGTAAATTAAAAAGAACTCAAATTCAGGTAGGTGGGAAAAAATTAATCCAGACCAACGGGCGTAACGTGCATCCAATGGCGCAGGAAAGTTGGTGATTTTTTTTTTCTTCTTCCTTTTATAAGGAAAACTTGAGAAGATCCACTCGTCTTCCAGCCGTGAGCGTCGAGGGCGACCTACTACTAGCAGTCCTAGTGAACAGCGCTTCAAGATAACCAAAGCCCCGCCCATGGGCGTGCCTCGCTAACGTGAACCAATCCGAAATACGGCCCCGCCCATTATTGAGCGGTCCATGTCCCACCTCTGTTGATTTCGCATTAGGTCCATAGAAATAAAAAAAAAATGGTATCAAACTGGAAAGAAGATGGAACCGTCAGGGCGACTTGTTGAATTATCTGGTTACTGAGAGCAAAGGGGTTTCAGTTTAATTGAACCCATTGTACTACACTCTAAAGCTAAAGCATTTAAGACTGGTGCCTGTAGTTCATTATGCTCGATTGACTGTCTTCAAGACGACACTACCATTTAATGATTAATATCAGTGCATACTTTCACCTACTTCTCTCATAAACAACCTGTATGCTTCATTAAACGGTTCATGCTCAATAGTGAACACTATAGAACTGAATTAACTGTTAGATTACACTGTACACTGCACTGTCTTTTATATTCTGGCTTCAGAACTCCAGTGTTGAATTAGAAATCAATGCATGTAAAAAATGATTTTTGCTTGAAATGTTGAAATTTATTATGTTTTACAATGAATTGCATAACATGCCATAAGCATAAATGTGAATAAACAACAGCAAAACACATGGAATAAATACTGCACCAAACAATGTTTTCATGTTAGCCACATTAATAAGTAACATGAATTTGCACCAAACTACTATAAAGTTTGATTGGACTCATGACCTTTGGCATTAAGAAAAGCTATGAGAAGAGACATCTCCTCCCTTTTAAAAGTTGATAAACCGATATATTTTATGATCCTGTCTGTATGATTTTATGGTTAGTTCATTTTATTATCTGCATTTAGCATGAGAACAGACCTGTGACCCATTTTGAGGCTAAGATCTAAGACTGTTTTATTGGTTCTCACTGTTTACATTGATAATCAGATCTTCTCAAAGTGCCACCAAGGATTCCCCGAGATATATTATACAACATATTAATCTTTCTCCCATTTTTCATTCTCTTTCTCCTCTCGTCACGTACCCTTCTTGTTTTGTTTTGTTTTCTCTTCGGCCTTGTAAATGACATAAAGTCTAAACTGTTTGTGGAGGAATGTGAGGCATGCAAACGCTCATGAAGAATGTTTCACCGCATCTGCATCACGCCACTTTCTCAGAATGTCCAGAACCTCAGGGAGGGGGATCGGGGCAGAATACGTTTTTTGTGTGTGTCAGATGAGAGAATGTAATGAATAAGCTCATATATTGAAACAGTCTCCTCTTCTTCTCCAGGGAGAGAGTTGGGGGGGTTGGGTGTGATGGAGTGAAGAGAAGGAGGGGGGAGTTTTCTTGTGCCCAGAGCTTTTGTGATGTGGTTCATTTTCTTGATGACGGGTCAGGACACATCACCTCATCATCCATGCGTCAGACTCTCGCTTTCCCCTTTCCTATTGGCTGAAAGGCCTTTATTGTCGCCAGATCATTCGAAAGTTGGAGGGAAGAGTAAATGGCCGGCGTCCTCCACAGTGAGGCCTGCAGTTTACACCTTCCATACAGCAGAGACTCTTCTTTAGCCTGGCGTTTCAATCCCTGTGGAGATGCACGGCCAGACAACAAATAGCTCCTGCAGGAGCAACATCTCACATATGAATGTCAATGGGTGTGTTGATATGCCAATGATAGGCCCATCAGACCAGGCAGGGCAGGTGAGAACTGGTTTTCAGTTACCGTTGAGCTTTGTGACTGTTTTGACCACAGCAGGGAGCGAGAGAGGAGGATGGTGATGGTGTGGATGCGGGGGTTGGTTGCCCTAAAGCATTATGGACTCAACTGAAACTAGATGCTGACTTTACAGAGTCCAGTGCAGGGAACGCTGGGGGAAATTTGCCAAGGAAAGAAGAAATGACACATTCAAGTCTCATAGAATTGTTCCCAGCCAAAGCAGAGTTTTTTGGTAGGCTCAGTGGTTACCACTGTGACCTTTAGGTCAAGTGAGCAGAGTTCACATTCCTCTTGAGTTTCCCAGATCCCCCTTGGTGCCTTTAACCGGCTTCTGAGCTGATGTGCTGCCCATCTCGGTGGCGATATCTCAATATTTATCAGTCTTTTGTTACATGTGTCATGTAAGAACTAAAACACAATCAAGACATGTTTCCCATGTGGTGTCACTTCTTTTAATTTCGATGCAAAAACAGAGCAATACATCAAATTAAACAGCAATTAATGTAGCCTACATTCAAAAATCAATTATACTCACCAAGGCTGCATTTATTTGATCAAAAGTACAGTAATATTGTGAATTATGATTACAATTTAAAATGACAATTTTTCTAATTGAATTTTCAGCATCATTGCTATTAATAGTTTTCTTTGATGATTAGAACGTTTTAACTGCGCTTATTTGAATAGTAATCTTTTATTACAGACGTCTTTACTGTCACTTTTGCATCCTTGTTATATAAAACTATTAATTTCCTAAATAAAAAAATAAACAAATGTCTTTCTTACCCCAAACCTTGGTGTAGTGTAATTCATTCCAAAAATCGTTAAAATATGAATAATGTTACACGGAAATGTGATATTTTTGAGTGATGGGAAAAGTTGCCAGAGATCAAAGATCAGACGTGTGAAAGACTTTGAACTGATTCATAAAAATTAATCAAACTTTAACAGTTTAATTCTGAGGTGCTACTGAAACATCTAAACTCCCTCTCACAGTTGGGAATCACAAGACAAGGAAGAACTGTAAAAAAAAATAAAAAATTAAAATATAGTCTAACGACAGGGACTTAATGACTAAAAAAAGGTAAAATATGTACAATGTTGATACATGCTATATATACAGTACATATATACATTCTGCCCCGCCGACTCTCTTTAAGATAAAAGGCTGTGGTTTTCTGTGCATCCAAGATTTTAAAAATCTACATTTAGATCTTGGAAAGCTTGTGGAGAGAATCATTCCATCCACAGCAAGAGATGCAACTATAGATGGGCAGATAACCCAAAACATGTCTCTGTGTGTCACGCATGAAACACGGGCTAAACAACAGCATGCTCTCAGGAGCATGTGAGCTCTAGCGTGTGATCGATTCGAGCCACGATAATTATATAGGTTATGTTATTTTGTATAAGACCAAGGGCAAGACTCCATGACTCAGCAGAAGACACCGCACTCAGGGTCCCTTCGGGTGTGAGAGGCGAGAGCTTTGACACAGAGTGCACTTTTAAACTTTAAACTCAGCTGTCTGGAAGAGAAGTCAGCACATGTTGTTGCTCCGGTGTCCTCTGAGCAAACTTCGCCCCCGATGGAAGTGAGAGCACGGAGGAGGACATCAAGAGGAGGTGCATGACCCACTCCAAACTCTGTCTATTTCTGATGCTTAATAGCATATATCTCTCTCTCTAAGATACGGCCTAGGGGCAGTTGACTGGTTTCTGCTATACTCGACGTGGGTCATCTTATCTCTTTCTTGTTTTTTTCTTCACAACACTCAATGGCCCTTTTTGTTTGGTTGCCCAGATTTCATGCCTGAACACAGAGTGAGATTTATATCCTCAAAAGGCCTTATTGTTCTCCATTCAGAAGGCAACTGATGAGCATCACAAGCTGGGATGAGGGGAGGGAAGGGAGAGAGAGAGAGAGAGAGCCAGGAGAGATATGTAACATTGTATTGCTTAATAAATCGATGTATCACAAATTACTCACTCAATACAGTTTCACACGTCGACAAGTTTACACAAACATCCCTTTTTCATCTTCCTATTAACCGAAAGATTTGACTAAACAGTTTTGCCAGCTGTGGAAAATTTCTGTGTTGCAAAAGAATGGTGCCATTTTAGCATTTTTTTTTCTTCTGAATTTTCTTTTTTTTGTAGTTTTTTTGTGAGTTTCCACACCAGAGGTGACTTTTAGCTCATTAAATGTACTCTGCTATTATCCAAAACATGTCTGCTGCTTTAATCTGGCCGCCGTCATCGATCAGTAAGACGAGATAAGAATCTCCGGAGACAATGGCAGCATATGGCATGGCTTTTTAAGAGACAGATGTTCAACTCAGGCAAAAATGAAGGCAAGAAAATAATCTTGACTTTAGCTTTGAGCCTTAGTATGCTGGAGAGTCAAAAGGCCAAAAGGTCACTCAGCTCTGGGACGTTTTCTTAGATGTTTCGGTTAAGGCCTGACTAGCATGTCACAATAATAAACTATCTGGTCTGGAAACAAAGTTTAGAGAGCTGCACCACACGTTACCCTATGTGCAGCTCCTCATCCTCCAGGTCTTGATGCAGTTAAAACATATCAGTTTATCACATAAAAAGTGTTTTGTAATCAGTGACAACAAATTTGAATATGCAGAATCGGACAGGACAGGACAAAAGAGTTCAACCAAAAATGAAAGTTTTGTCATCAAGATGTTCCAAAAGGCATTTTGAAAAATGTGGATCTTTCTTTGTTCATACAGTGAAAGTCGATGTTGTTTAATGTTGTTTTAGACCCAATTGGTAAGGACAAAAACAAACAAAAAAAAATTATTCAAAATTGTTTTGTGTTCAACAGAACAAAGTCATAGATGTTTTGAACGACATGGGGGCGAGTAAATGATGAGACTTTCTCTTTTTTATTTTTTATTTTTTTTCAATTCTCCAAACGCAAAGCTCATTTTTCATCTACCTTCATGTAACTTTTTTTTTTTTGAGCTTAACAGCCTATTGTCACTATATGATTTGTGTATGGAAAAGAGCAGCATGAACATACTTTGAAATATCTTCTTTTGTGTTCTACATAAGAAAGAATCTTTCTTAAATAAATAAATAGATATTTCTTAACACTTTAGATTATAAGACTATTCACTATTAACTAGCTGTTCACTATTAACTAGTTGCTTGTTGGCTGTTTATCAGTACTTATAAAGCACATATTAAAGGGTTAGTTCACTCAAAAATGAAAATTAGCCCATAAATTACTTACTCTCAAGTCATCCTAGGTGTATATGACTTTCTTCTTTCAGACAAATCCAGTCGGAGTTATATTAAAAATGGTCTCCACAGTGAGGCCTGCAGTTTACACCTTCCATACAGCAGAGACTC